ATAAAAGTTGAAATTTATCTATAAACTTCAGTGAATTAAATATTGTACCATTTTAATTTGAATTATCTTAATTTGGGGGGGTCAGGAGGCTGGGGGCTGCCACTTAAAAAATAACTTTTTTTCGCAAACTTTAATTTAAATTCTGCTTGCCCAGAACTTGTCTAAATAATGTCATTAAAAACTCAAAATCCACCAGCCGACACTGTTTGCATATATAAAATTGCAATATCCTATTGATATATGAAATATTACACATTTATTTTAATAAATTAAATACAAATAAGGCATTAAAGCATGCCAATTAAAGAATATACTCAATAATAATAATAATAATAATAATAATAATAATAATAATAATAATAATAATAATAATAATAATAATAATAATAATAATAATAATAATAATAATAATAATACCAGACTAAGAATAGGACATACAAACCTTACCTCAGTCCATCTGTTAGAAGGAAAGCGGCCCCCCAAATGCAATGCCTGTGATGTCTTTCTTTCCATAGAACATATTTTTAACGATTGTCCGTTATATGAAGACACGCGCGAACTGATAGAACTAAATCCCCTTAACTCGGTCTGTTGGGAGGATCCAAGAGAAATTCTTAAAATATTGTTCTTCCTAAAAGAAACAAATGTAATGTTAAGATTATAATTTTTGTAAAGCCTTACCTACCTGTGATATCTATTCCAACTCCACCCTATTATATAAGATCACTTAATATACCTACCCTTTTCTGATCTGAACATAAAAAATGCCTAGATAATTTGACATTGATTAGCCGGGCTAATGACCATTAGTTGTCGATGCCCATATAATAATAAAAAAAAAAAAAAAAAAAAAAAAAAAATAATAATAATAATAATAATAATAATAATAATAATAATAATAATAATAATAATAATAATAATAATAATAATTAGACACTTGATCAAGTTAAGGGCCTTTAAGACTTTTCCCTTTAAATAATCCATATGCTTTTTCCAGGCAAGACGTTCATCCCAAATGAGCCCAAGGTATTTTAATTCTTCCACACAGTTTAAGGGGTTTCCATTCCTAACCCTAAAGGGAAACCCCTTAAACTGTGTGGAAGAATTAAAATACCTTGGGCTCATTTGGGATGAACGTCTTGCCTGGAAAAAGCATATGGATTATTTAAAGGGAAAAGTCTTAAAAGCCCTTAACTTGATCAAGTGTCTTGCCCATACTAAATGGGGAGCACATAGAGATTCTTTACTTACCTTGTTTAAATCACTGGTTATCTCCAAGCTGGACTACGGATCTGTTGTATATGGGTCCGCTCCAAAGTCCACATTACAACCACTTAATGTGTTACACAATGCGGGAATACGATATGCTGTAGGAGCTTTTCCGACAACACCCATTCATAGTCTTCACGTAGAATCTGGTATTATGTCCCTGGAAAACAGAAGATTGTTTTTGGCACTATCTTACATTGCCAAGTGCAGAAAATGGGGAATTACCAACTTTGTCCACCCTTATCTTATTAATGACGTACTCTTGAGAAATCCTAGGTACACATCATCTATTTCCAAGGCCAGACTGATGAGTGATGAATTGCACCTAAACATGCCGGTCGGCGACTCTTCATTTGTTCCCAATAATCCACCCTGGACTGTTGAATACCTGGACGATCTTCAACGCCTAAAATTGGAAAAGACTCAGGTTACAAAAAATATTAAAGATAGGATTATGGTGAAATGGAGTAAGGAATGGGCAGAAAAGGAGACTTTTTTAAATAATATAACCGACTTGGTAAGTGGATGCAAAACATCTACGTTGAGCCGTAAGCGACAAGTTGTTATAACAAGGTTAAGGTTGGGTCACACCAATCTTACCAAATGTTACCTCCTGGAAGGTGCTGAGGTACCTACCTGTGAAGGCTGTGGTGAAGTACTTACGGTGAGACACATTCTTGTCGAATGTCCCTCTTTACATCATAAAAGAATAAACCATAGTATATTCAACGTCCAACTAAAAGAAATGCTTGAATATAATTCAATTCATATTGAACAAGTTCTTAACTTTCTTAGTGAAATTGGATTTTTAAATAAAATTTAAAGTAACATCTGTGATACCAAGTCCCATTTTAGTGTATGTCATTTATTTTATTATTGTATCATGCTTACCTGTTTATTTATTGATCTTTTCGTTAAATCTAGTCAGGAGAGGTTTTTAGCCGGTAAGAGTCCGGCACTACCCAGCGTAATGTTAGGGTGTCCATGAGGATTTTCCTCTCCGGTTATGGTGCCAATGACCGCAGCAGTCGACGCACCTTAATGAAAAAAAAAATAAAAATAATAATAATAATAATATTATTATTATTATTATTAAAAAATAAATACAAATAGGTCAGCAGCTGACCGTCACCTTGATTTCCAAAGAAAAAACTTAATCCGACTATTAAAAAAAAATAACTTCATTCAAGCTTATTCTTAATTTTATAGTTTTTATCAGGGGCGTAGCTACCGCGGTATCAGCCTTATCAATGATACGGCTGATACCCCGGCTAGGGGGGCCCCGATAGGCTTTGACAAGCGTAAGCTAAAAACATATTACCCACATGTTAAAAAAATTGAGGCATGAAATTTAATAAATAAATTAATAAATATTATTATTACTTAAATGTTTATACTTCGATAGGTACAGTTTGATTTTTAAAAGAAGTAACTTTCATCATTAATTTACGGATCAAACTCAGACATTGTTTTGTATTTCCACGCTCATGAGCGTGCAGGCGCGCTATAGCCATGTCGAAAAACAGGTTTTAAATCTATGACGAAAGTTACTTCTTTTAAAAATCGAACTGTAGATAGGTATTTGAAACATTGTAAAAAAGTTATGTAACAAAGACCGATATGATATGTTTCAGGTTAAGTTAAGTAATAATTGTTACAAATATTGTCTATTCTTTTTTAACTTTTGTTCCACTTTAAAGGTTAGGATAAAATGACCATGTATTTTTCTCTGTCAGTCTTAGAAAAAAAGAGAGGATAATCCACTCTTTACCTTTAAATAAACATGTTCATTATATCCTAACCTTTAATTAAAGTCGATCAAAAGTTAAATCAAGAATAGACAATATTTGAAACAATTATTGCTTAACCTACATAAATATACCTTATATTTAATCCAAAAGTAAAAATTGTATCGCCAAGAATTATAACATTTGTATAAAAAATACTTATTCTTAAATTAAGCATAGTGTATATTTTATTTGAGGGTGCTTGCATTTAAAATAATAATAATAGTTTTTCTTGAAATAAGAATAAGTTTACCCTTGCACCTAACATTAAAATTATATCAAAATAAGTATTAATTTAAATTACAAATAAGAATAAATCAATCCTTAAATAAAAAGTATCTATACTTGCGGAATGGTGAAATGAACATATACTTGGACTGATGATTAATCTTTAATATAGAAAAACTTTTTTCCGTGTTCAAAAGATTTTGACCTAAAAAACGTGTATAATTAGAGCAGCTAGATTTCCAAAGAAAAATACTTTTCCTTACCTAAAGTTAAAAAATTGATAATTTTTCATCACCATTTTTAACTATAACATTTAAATAGAGAAATGTCTAAATTGGCAATTTTGCTTAATTGTAACTTCAATGTTCTAAAACTTTTTTATTGTTGAAAATTTTTAATTTTATAAATAAAACTTCTCAATTGTAAAAATACCTAAATTGTGTTTTGGCCGTTCTCGGGCGATTCTAGTCCACTGTGCGATGTTGAGTTAGACAAATTAATTGATAATGACAGATTTATTATTTATCTGAGCAAAAAATGTGGAAGGATTTTTTAATTGAACTCGCACGCCAATGGCGAGCCAGTCTGATTCTTTCATGTTCACTCTCGCGACATGTTTTTAATAAAAGTGGTAATTTTTACCCGACAAAAATTTTAATAAAAGAATTTACAAATTTGATGGAATCGTTTAAATTTAATCGAGTGGAAACATTTTTAAGGGATATTTCCTTATCTGTCTAATATATCTGAAAAAAAATAATGTTATGACGTGTCATGCATAAAACTTACATTTATGCTCCACAATGAGTTCTTTTTTCCGGATTAATATTTTTAATAGTGGCAGATGAAATCGTAAAACAAAATGTGACCACAGAAGTTCCCGGGGCAACATTTCAAAATTGTGCTGTCTTTTATCTGCAGTTTAATTTTTATTTTTTGGCCTCGCGCCAACGTGGCTCTTTTTGATGTGACATCCTCTCCAATAAACTACGCAAGATATTAGAAATGATGGTTAAAATCGAAATTGTCTACAAATTATGTTTGAGTGTAACATAAAGGTTCAAGGGGATTTGAAAAGTTAATAAATTTAGAATATTTCTTCGGTTTTCGTTTTATAAAATAAAATAAAAAATACATTTTTAGAATTAAAAAAAATGTCTGCGACGTGTTGAACTTTTTTAAAATGGCCGATAGCCTTACTAAACCATTATAAATAAAAAAATAAACTAAAAAAAAAACAAAACAAAGAAAATGTCACAGTAATCTTAACCCAAATGTTACGGCTAATGTGTAAACTTATATAAAAACTACCTGCAGCTTATAATTTCAAGAAAATTAGCCAAGATCCTTGGTTATATTGTAAACTTGAAAACTAAAATAACTTTATAGTTGTATAATATCCAATTTAGTTTGGAAAATATATTTCTAGTAACACAAAATAGCCAATACTTTAGCCAGGGCCGTAGAGGTGTAGAGGCCTGGGGCAACAAGGGAGTGGAGGCCCCTAATTATTTTTCAAATAGGTTAAATAATATTTTTCTTGCAAGTGTTTCAATTATTTATTTATTTAGTCGTATGGCACAAAAATATAGAACGCAGTAAATCACTTTCAATGCTAAGTAGGAATAACTTTGATAGGCGGTTTTGTTCCATCGTAGTTTTAAGCCTATTTTTTATAATTTTTATTTTTGAAAATGAGCGCTCTCCAGTGCAATTTCACACCATCAAAACCGAATACATTCGCAGTGTGATTTCGATGTTTGGAAAATTTTGATTTTCAAGAATTTGATTATAGAACAGCTCCTTAGATAGGTCTTTTTTATAGTCTGTTTTATATAAGTTTATCAAAGATACAAATTGAACCAACTCATTACCAAGACTAGGTTCTAAATCGTCTTTGTAAACTTTTACTAATTCATCTTCTGCAGCATACAAATTTGCAGCATCCATCTCCTCTAAATGATTAAGAAATCCAAATTTTGAACGTATGCATGCAATCTTTCAGTATGAGAAACACATAGCTGATCGAACTCTGGGATAAAGCCTGACACTTTAAATTTATCTTTTGGTGACAAGTTAGCATCTTGTGCTATATGAAAGCGGATCCAACCTCACATTTCTAGTTCTGGTGCGAGATTGTACTTGATTGTACTTGATATTCCTTTAGCAGCTTCTTTGCATTTGTCAAACTCGTCTCTTTTGGACTCAACAAATAATTTCAGTGATTTCAATGCATGCATTGCAGACTCAAGAGTCATTTTCGGGTCCTGCAAGATCTTGTTTGTAGGGTTAAATCGCTCCAAAATGTCGTTCCAAAAGATGGCAAATAGAGCGGTTTCGAGTCAACTCATCTTCTCCAAATTATCACAAGATATGCTGGTAAGAGCTTCTTTGATTTTAGAATAACTATCGACAATAGTTTTCGTAGCTTCATCTCGACAAAACCAGCGGGTATCGCTAAGCCTTTTCAAGACGTAAAACTGTTTTTCAGTTATAATTCGGTATCTTTCTGTACTAAAAATGTACATAAATTCTGAACGAGATCAAAAAATTGAACAGCCGATGTGCAAGCATTAGCAGCAGCCTTTTCAACTAAATTAAGAGAATTACCACAACATGGGTAAAACACTGATAAAGAAATTTTCTCCAAAATCAGAGCCTTTGTATTTGATGCTCATATTTGCAGCATTATCGTATGATTGGCCGTCGCAATCGATAATGTAATTTTGATGGTCGCCTAAAATTTTTAGTAAAGCGTTTGTTGTGGCTTCACCAGTATGACCACAGTTTGATAAAAACGTCAGAAATCTTTTCTTTAGCATCGATCCTTTAATATATCGAACAACTATAGTCAGTTGATTGATATGAGATTCGTCCACTGACACCGAATATTACTTATATTTTTTTAATTCTTGATATAATAATATCATTAAGAACTTTATCACCCATGGAACTGATCAGTTCTTCACAAATCGTAGACGAAAGGTTTTTTTTTAAAATAAAATTTCTTGAGAGGCTCTGGGCAGTTGCCGTGATTGCCCTCCCTAAAATCCGGCCCTGGATTTAGCTAGTTTGTAAACTAACCAATCAATTCTCAAGTAAAGGATTTTAATTTTTTATTGCGCATTAGTCGTAACATATACATATAAAACAAATAAAATATCACAGCAATCGGAATACCCACCCCCTGAACTCCAATTATTTTTGACGCGGCCTCATAAAATACAATGCCAACAGAATATGCTATATTTGAAAAGTTCGTGAATATTGCTTGCGTTTCAATTATTAAGAGAATAATGTCATGAACAGGATTCATTAAAAAACAGAAATATTTAACTAAAGAAAACTTACCGGTATTTTGTAAACCTAGCCTTAATTGAAACTCAATACGACTTGTTGCTCAATAAATACTGCTAATTCTACATGTGTAGCGAGTATGTACCCTTGTGCACCACAATAATAAAATAATAAATTTTACTAATCGAGACAACAGTAAATAATTTAATCTGAATCAAAACAAAAACACCCGCTCTACACACACAGCAACACAAACTGCCATCCACCACATCTTCAGTTATGTGATATAAAACACCACAGGCTATACAAATTTCGCCTCTGTTCGGTCGTAGTGGGTTAACGAGGTTTGAGCGTGGATTTTAATTTACCATTTATGCTTAGTATGTATAATTGATTGATTTTTTACTTTTTATTGTAGAACTGTGACAAGTCACCACTGTAGTGTACAGATTGACAGATTGCCTTTTTCGCTACTGGCGCCATCTCTTGTTAGGACTAGCTTATTGACCTAACCTCGTATCATCCTAATTACAGCGCTTAAAATCATGAAAAGTGTATCTATTAACCATCTATTTAAGATATATTTGGGTGGGTATCTCATCCCCTAATCAGATAAAAATTAAAAAGGGGCCGTGTATGACATAAAATGAAAGTGACGAATATTAATTAGGCAATATTTCAAACCGCATCGGACACATAATAATTCAAACATGTGCAACCGAAAAGTTCAAAAATGATATAAGGTTTCGGTTAATTTAAAATAATATTCGGTTACACATCGTAAATCCACTGTCAAGTAGGTATGTTTAGATTTTTTTAATATCATTAAAATATCTTCCACTTGTACTCACACAAGTGTTTTTAAAAGCATTTTATTTATTATACGAAATGACAACGGGAATGGCATTTTTATTTTTGAGAATGCCGTGTTTTCATATTTTTTATTAATGAATGTTGTAACACTGATTTAATGGGTTTTTAACAGCTGGCTGAGTTACTTAAGTTCTTGTTGTTGTGGGGTGTAATAAATGACCCTTTAAAAAATAATTAAATTTTGGAAAGCCAACACAAGTCACGGGCTGAAGTTAGCAACAGCTTTTTAACAAGAGTTTTGCAACAAAATAGGTATTTAAACAATTAAACTAAGCCAATTCGTTTATTAAAAACCAAACCGATCCATCTATCAATTAAAATTGTAAATGCCTAATGGAGCCGACGAAATAATTTCATCCAATTATGGTTGCGATGAATTAAAACTAACTTTTAATGATTTGCCAATAGGATTTACGTGTATTTACCGAATTTATACTGTTTCGATGAGGGGAGCATTTGAATTGACAAAGGCTGAACATCTCTTCCACTATTCGTTATATATATATATATATAATATATATATACGTATATATATGTATATATATATATATATATACCTAGGTATTTGGGTTATTTTCAAATTTCTTGTACATTTGCTGTCCCTCAACTTTTATAAAAAAATGAGTTTAACGCCAGTTGGAACTTTACTAAGCGAAATCAATTGGTGTTTTTAGCAACTATTTATTAGGAAAATTGTAAACTTTTAAATTTAAACCTATAAAAAAAATTAAACTTTCCCCAACAGTACAGAAAAGTAGTTGTCCCACTTGCAATAATATTCACTACTTAATGCTTAGAGTAAAATAACATCCCCCTTTTTTATATAGTTGAGAATATATTCCAAATATTACAGAAAAAGCCCATTTGTGGTATTATTTAAAAATACAAGTGGTTAAAATAACCCCTAAAGTTTGTGCCTTAATTTTGGTCTCCTAGGTCAGGTCTCCTGGGTCACATAAACATCTTTTATAAATGACCTTTTGAATTGAGCCCATATTTTTTGGTGCTGCCCCTTTCGGCAATGTATTTGGTATTTGATTTAAGTAGGAAATGGTATCTTGAAGCCACAACATGTTTTTTTGTATTTTTTAGACCAGAGTAGCAAAACTGTGTATTCTCCTGTGTCACAGTAATAAAAAATAGTAAAGGTACCAGTTGGACTTTGTTTGAGTCTCAAAAGTAAGTATCCTAGTAATGGTTTTAAGGGCAAAAATAAAAAAAAATATCTTTAAAACAGTGAAAAGGTTATGTTCTAAAACATACATTTTTTCCCTGGGTCACAAGTTTCCTGGATAACATATTGTGTGACCCAGGGGAAAATTATGTGACCAAGGGGAGAATTCCAAAGAAATAAATTATAATATATTTTTGAAATAATAAACTTATATGAATTAATTTTCCTAGTCAATGTATTTTGCCTCAAAGAAGCTGGAAAAATTTTTTTGTTAGTTCAACGACACAATGTTTATATTGACTTTTTATAATTATTTTAGATATTAATATTACTAATAACTAAAACTTTTTATTAATTTATTGCTCGTTAAATTGGACAAGCTGGGCACAGATAAAAAATCGAGAAAAAACATTTTTAATACGCATTAAAAGGAAATTTCTTAAACTCACTTTTTTTAATGGACATTTTTTAAATACAGAAAATATATTAATATTTATTTATGTATCAAGGCACTAAAGTCGTACTTTTTATCACGAATGTGGAAATTATTTGCCGAGGCGAAAGCTGAGGCAAATAACTACGTGAGTGATAAAAAATGACTTTAATGCCGAGGTGCATATTAAATTTTATCCGAAATCACATTTAATAATACTAATAATTAATATTGATGATTAAATCAAATGTCATTTGAATGTAGGAAGTGTCTATAGACGTATACTTATACTGTTTGCCCGCCGCGGCGATTTTTTAATCTAATTAATAAAATTAACTTATTATTTTTATTAAAGAGCATTTTATGAAAGGGTCCAATCGACCTCCGCGATGGTGCTTTTTTAAATATTATTTAGTTTCTGCTGAGGAGCAGTAGACACATCTTAAAATGTATGCTGGGTTGCATACAATACTGGACGAGTATTACTCGTATTAAATCGGCAGTAAAGTTCTACTTTACTGCCGATTGTTGACTACTTTACTGCCGATTTCGGATAAATATATTTATGTTGAAAAGTTGAAAAATAGAACATAGTTTTGGCTTTTACTTTTTACGTTTTGTACTCAACATTTTTTTATAAATAATAAATTTATGTTCTTTTTTTAAACAAATCCTAGTATAAATAAAACCTTAAAAGGATTATTAACAATCAATTTTTTTAATATGTTAGTAAATTTGCGACCCAGGGGACCATTTTTTTCTTTTTCTTTTTAAGGGCTTATTTGAAAAAATCTAACTGCCCACATTTAGGTCTTAAATATCAACAAAATTTCTATTTGCATATTATACTTTTATTTTAAGGTACCTAAAAGCACTTGTTAATTTTTCTTGTCCCTTCAACATTTTAGTCACCCTTTAAACTTCTAAAACTGATGGCTTGTGATAAACTCGTATAGCCCTTACAGGGGCTTAGTTTTGGGGCAGCAGTGCGGTGGATATGCCGTAAAAGCTTTGTTTCAAGTTATGAATAAGTTAGGCAGAAATTGACAGATGCCTAACGCCACTTTAATCCACGCTTTCACTTACTCTGCTTCACCTTTCTCAACTTATAGTGTTATAACGATGCACAAAGTATTAATAGGTAAATATTTTTCCATTTAATTAAGATAATTGAGAGGGTATATAACCTATTTTAGATCATTTGGCAAAGAAAACACGGAACAGCAATTTAAACGTTATTTATATGACTTAAAATTAATCACACTTACGTTGGAATCATTACAGTAGTGCTACATAATTTCTATAATAAAAAATATGTTCCCTTTCTACTCAACAAAGCAGCTTGAATTACACCTGTACCTGAAAATTTTAATTATAACTTTAATAAGCTGGCGCTTTGCAGTTTTAGCCGTATTAAAATTTAGCTAATTTAAACATTTATATACAGGACACATTTTCATTGTATAAACACATGGGTCAAATGATATTTAAGACTATCAAGTTTTTACTCCTGTACAATAATTATTAAGATATGCTGAAAATTAAAAATACAAAAAAAAATTAAAAATACTCGTTATCAGCACAAGCTTAGTTAGCTTTTTCCCAAACTAAAAAGTGTTCCACATGCAAATAATTTATGTAGTAAGAAATATATTAAATATAATTAATAGGGTATTCCACCAAAGACCAAAAATACTTTGGTCTCTTAGGAACTTTAACAAATAGGTGTCTGAGATCAATACCAATTATTAAATAA